AAAAAAAAAAAAAAAAAAAAAAAAAAAAAGCAGGAATAGTTTTTTTTTCTGTGTAAAAACCAATTGTTCCCTTTGTTTTGTTGTTTTACAAAACTTCTCAGCAATGTGCTTCAATGGGGTTTCTTTCTGTGCATGTCAAAACTCTTACTGGATTTGCCTATGTCCTACACTGTCCTGTCTCCCTCTGCACCAAACCACAACCCCCATTTCATTCATTCTCCCTCTGCTTCTGGATTTGTGTCCAGCTTAGAGAAAGACTTTCAAAAGGGGCATATATGCCCTTACATGCACCAGTAGTGAGACCAAGTTTTTTTCTCAGTGTTTATAAACAGGACTGATTAGATTTTATTGGTGTGTTTTTTGTGGTTTTTTTTCCCTAGAAGTCAGTTTTCCTAACAGCACACTGCAGTGTGAGGATCCTTTTGGATACTTCCAAAACCTTCCCTTTTGGATACTCTGAGGTATTATCTAATCATCAATACGCAGCTCTCCATAGTGATTCTCTGGAAGAGGAATGTTGTTGGTATTCAAAAAATGTCTGCACCTTATTCCAACTCCAAAGTTATCATTCATTTTTCTAATTTTCATCCTTTTCATGACTTAAAACAAACTGTCTTATCTCTGTCCTCCATAGAACTGTGAAACTATTGTGTTATCAGATTTTCTTCCTCTAGTACCCCCTGACTCCCAGACTTTCTGCAAGTCTCTGTAACATTTTCTTTATCCTAATTATTTCATTTTTAACCTTATCTTTCCCTTTCCTATTTACAATTCATGTTGTTATCTTTCTTTTGGGTTTTGTTAGCTTTTTTTTTTTAAGTTGCATTGCCTCTGGTGAACATAGTATCAGTAGGACATGACATTCTTCAAATAGCTTCAACTGGGTTTTGACTTTTCCTCATTCTCCAAAACTCTCTACTTTTATCTTTACAGATTTGCTTACTCAGTTCCATGCCCTTTTTCATTTTTGTCTCCTTGCCATAGTCCTCATATATTTTGTTTCCCATACAAAGTTATGTTCCCTTTTTTCCTGGCTACAGAAACCTATCAACCTTTCCAGTTTCATCAGCAATGTACCCTTTATTTTTCATGAGGGCATTTAGTGAAGCTTTAGTTATTCTTTGAACTTTACTGCTATCTTTTTATCATTCAAATGGGTAGTATCTGTGAACGAAAAGGGATGAGCTAAAGTGAAAGAAAAAAAAAAAGCACGGATCTCAGTGTAAAATGCTGAAATAAAAACTATTATCTTGCTTCACAGAGCTCTAAGATTCATAAAAACCAAATTAGGGGTTAAAGTGGGTATCAGAACTACACTAAGCACCTCGAAAACATCTGAAAAATGAGGTGACCAGTGTGCACTCATTGGTCACTTCAAATGTGAGGAATGTGCAACACTGGTGAGGTGTTACAGATTAATTCCTATACAGGAGAGGTGCTACGTGTTTATTCCTTACACCATTTTATTCAGTTCTCGGCTTCCAACCACGTTGACAGCGCTGTGCAATGAGTCACTTTTAATCGCTGCCTCATTTGTTCCTGACCTGAATAACCTTTTCATAGAGGCTTGTGTGCAGTGTAACACCTCCTGTGCCGGATCGCACTTCAGAGGCTACAAAACTGTCCCAAGCGATTTGCACGGCGTCGGAGCGAGCCTCGGGACGGGCAGCCCGGGGTCCTTCGTATCCCTCCTGGGAAGAAAAAAGGGATTTGCTCCCGAGGAGGCGATGTCAGTGCGCGGGCAGAGCACCGACCCGCACAGACCCCTCCGTGTCACGGCGAGAAATGGGGGCCCCTCACTCAGGATCCCTCTCTGCCACCAACAACGTCAACTCCCGTGACATTTTCACAGAATAACAGAATATCCTGTGTTGGAAGCGACACAAAAGGACCACTGAGTCCATCTCCCGCCCTTCACAGGACCATCCCCAAGAGTCACACCATGTGCCCCAGAGTATTGTCCAAACGCTTCTTGAACTCTGTCAGGCTTGGTGCTCTGACTGCTTCCCTGGGGAGCCTGTTCCAGTGCCCAGCCACCCTCTGGGTGAAGAACATTTTCCCAACATCCAACCTAAATCTCCCCTGACACAACTTCACCCGATTTGGGGTCTATTTGAACCTCTCGCATGCAGCTGAGGCTGCGACACCAACTTTCAGTCCTTCCCACCGCCATAAACCCTGTTCGCCGCCAGCCCCGCTGCCCCCGGGGGCTGCTCCCCCTCAGCAGCTCCGGAGCCGCTGCCGCTCTCGCCGCAGTGGGGCGGGGGCTCCCCTGGCCCCGCCCACCCTGCCGGGAGGGGGCGGGGTGCCGCGCAACTGCGCTTCTATTGGTGAGAACGGATGCCCATCTTCGCAGTGCTCCAATCAGAGGCTGCGGATCGCGGGGGCCGTCAGACATGGCTGGTTCCCTATCTGGGACCAACCGCCCGCCGAGACGCTGCGCGCAGTCACCGCCCCTTCTCCCCTCTCCGCCAGTCACGTGCCCCAGGCGTGCCCGCAGTAAGTAATGGGAACCCGGGGGCGCCTGTCAATCACCGGCGTTTCCCCGCCTTCGCCCTCCCCTCCCGCAGCGGAGCCGGCAGCGGGGGGCGGGGCGCCGGTTCCGGCTGCGCGCTGGTGAGGCAGGCGGGGCCTGGCGGACGGGGGAGGGAGGCAGGGAGAGAGAGGAGGAGGAGGAAGAAGGGAGAGGAGGAGGAGCTGTGGCTGAAGCCGGCGGAGCTTTCAGTACCTCGGAGAACGGCTGCGAGCGCGCCGGGCGGGCAGGAGCCGCCACCGCCGTCCTCCGCTGCCCGCTCACCTGCCCCGCTCCGCTCCTCACCCGCCCCTCACCACCCCGCGTCCCCCCGGCGCCGGAGGGAGCACGGTCCCGCCGGAGCGGCTCCGGGGGGAGAGCACGGCAGCAGCACAGGCTCGGTGATCGGGACGGGCGGGGGGTCCGTCAGCGCAGGGACGGGACGGGTGGTCAGCCCGGGACGGCCGGACTGGCTTAGGGAGTCGCTCGCTGCCGTCGCTCCTCACGGAGCGGCGGCCGGGGCGGCGAGGAGAGCGAGAGGGCTCGTACCCCGCATCTCGCACCCGCCGTGGAGCCCGGGGGGAGAGAGGGGAGCACTGAGTGCGGCAGCGGCTGCCGGCATTTGCTAGGGTGGGCAGGGAACCAGAAACAGGAGTCGCACCAGCGGCTGGGAACGGGGAATCTGCTCCTGGGAAACCTCGGGGGCAGAGATACCCCTGCCTCAAAAGGGTTTTGAGGGGAAAGGGAAATTGAATGTAGACGCATTTTGGTAGTTTTGCTGAAATAATCAAGTGCCGAAAGCAGATCTTAGGCAGATAAGGTAGCGGGATGGATCCCACTGTTTTGGATGCCGGCTTGAATTTTTTATTTACTCTTCTGTTTTGACCAGTGCTAAATGTGGATTTTGTGAGCGAACCCGATGGCGGTTGTTCCATTGTTCCTTGTTTGAACGTAAATCTTAGTCCTGCTGCTTGTGGATTTTTTATTTATTTATTTAATTAATTAATTGTTTTTGGAAAGGACCTTTCCAGTTAGCTTTTGCGTCTGACAAAATGAAGCCTTTATATTTTTCAGTCAATTATACCTAATACTGACATTCTGTTTGGTACAAGAGACTTAAAGTGCTGCCTCACTCAGAGGACCATTAAAGACTTTCTCGGTCGCTACATGTAGCTGAATGTGTTACGACACATCCTTTCTCCCCTCTCAAATCTTCCGAAAGATTTTTCCAAAATGAAGAAATTTAATTTTCGCAAAGTTTTGGATGGTTTAGCTGCCGCATCCCCTGTTGGAAGCAGTGGCGGTGGCAGTGGAAGTGGGGCTGGTGGTGGCTCCGTGCACCCAGGAGGGACTGCGGGAGCTGCAGGGACACCCAGAGAGGAGATCCAGGAGACGCTCACTTCAGATTATTTTCAAATCTGTAAGGTAAAGGCTGTATTTTTATTTTCTATGGAAATAATAAAAGCTACCCTGGGTTGGGGGGTTGAGGGGGGGGGGTAGTAATATGATATCAATGAGCGTTTTACTTGAGAACTGCAGTGGTTGTATAAGGACTTTGGAATGAGAAGACAGAGATCCAGTGGATGCTTTTTTTCTTCCTGCTGCAGAGTTGGGGTGGTCAGTAAATTCGTAGAAATCTTGATTTCAGCACTCAGGGCTGAATTCCAAGTTCACACTTGGACCCCAAACTGCTGACAGGATTGTGGACAGGAAAGCAAATCAATTGGTGTTAGTACGGATAACATTTACAAGTCATTAGAAATTGAAGATCGTATGCATCTACTTCCCCTCCTCACTCTTCTTATCCTCCTTGCCTTTCCTTCTCTATTTTAGGAACAAGGCACAAGCTAGAAATAAAAGACAGTGCAGTGACTACTGAACCCAGGACTTCAATTATTTGTGAGGAGCTGGATGTAGATTCAGGGTGGCTGTTTACCTTTTGTACTGAAGTTTCTGATTGCGTGATAGCAAACTTAGTGGGACAGCATAAATATCAAAAGCTGCCAAATCTGTTCTGTTTTTTATGTGTTGATCACTTCCTTACGTGGGAATTTTTATGAGTAGAAAGCATAAGATATCCCTCTATGTATTTTGGTTTGTCTCTGTTTTCTGCAACAAAGCTTTTACTGGTGGTCTTAAATACTTGCACCTGTAAAACAGTACAAACTATTTGGTACTTCCAACCAACTCTGGAATATGAAAATTATACTTTTGTAATGAAGTTAAAACATGAAAAGAGATTATGGTCTTGTACTATTACATGTCAGTTTTATGTGAATTCTGGTGGCTTTACTAAAGGTTTTGTTTGCATATTTGTTTTGATTAGAAGCTTCAAAACCAGAATTTTTAATTAGTGCAATTTGCATTACTAGGAGTAAATGGACTCCACCTATTAAGTATTCTTTGCTTTGTTAATCAACTACAAATTGATCTGAAATTTAGATTACAGTCAACTCCAGCACATCATTATTTCTTTTTGTGTTTTGGAAAGAAGAAAGAAATAGAAACAACCAAGACTAACCTATGAGATATTTTGTGTGCAGATCTGGTCCTTGTGAAATACACAGCTTCCCTGATCTCAGATACCATGTTTCTAATTCTGTTTGGCTTTCAGCTACAGCTGGTGTTAAAACTCTTGCAGGTTTCAAGGGGAGAAGGATGAGCCCCTGTGGCTTAAAGACTCAGAGACTTTTAGATAGGTTCTACAGGATTCTAATTTCTTTTTTCGTATAGTTCTTTGCCATCCTGAACCACAACAGGTTCCAGCCTTTTGGCTCAAATGATTCTGTAGTTTAATAGAGTGTGAGTGATGAGTGCATTAGAAACATACCTGCTTACCAGGCTTGGATTTGACTACTTTTGATTATGTACACAGTAATTCAGCATTTTGTGAAACTGCAGGTATTCAGTACAGTGATTTCCCATTTTTGTCATGTCAGTAAAAAAATAATACGAACAATCAAGGTAAATTAAAATATCATTAGGAGGTCTGATATTCAAAGACTTCTAAGTAGGGCTAAAACTCTACATGGTTTTTCATGTTTAAGTCATGTGATAGGGACCAAGATCTGTATTTAGTGAGATACATTCTTATTTTGCATGGCATATTTGTGAAAATAAGCAACATGAAATGAATTTTTTTTTCCTAATCTCTATTATTTCCCTTGTTTGCTTCGATATTACTTGAAGACAGTTAGTGTTATATCCTGATAGATCTACTTGGAATATGTGTAAAGGAGTATGTCATTTGAAGAAGATTTCAGAAGCCAATATTTGCCTGTCTTAGCTCTCGAGTTAAAATGTTCTCAGCAAAGTATTTGTGTAGAAAACCTTTCGATTGCTTGCAGCAGCACTTGCTTATGAATGCATCTTACTGCAGAATTCCGTGGTACACAAAATACTGGCTTCCTTCTTCCAGGATACAGAGGTATGCTGAAAGCAAACTTCCAAAACACTGGGTGATCATGTGCTCCTGACACTCTGCAGTGTTTATTCCACGGGCTCCACTTCAGCTGCTCTGTAGCACTTGAGGAGCACCAGGAGTGTGTTTGAAGGGAGCCCCAGAAGCTGTGGGGGCCCTGCACTGTTGAAAGGGAACCAAGGGCAGTGGGGCCTGATGCAGGCACAGCATTCCCCTGCCTGCTCCAAGGGGACAGAGTCCAGCCAGAATTTGTACCTCTGTCAGTCTGAATCGAATTAAATAAACACCGACATGCACATAACCCAAATTCTGTCCTCCCCGAGTTTTTGTTGTGCAGCACTTCTGGTATTTCAATTGGGTATTTGCATGTTCAGTTACATAAGTTATACGGGCTGCATATTTAAGGATCTGTGATCCTGCTGCACGCAGAACTGAATAAAGCTAATGGCAGTTTTGGTTTGTTATCTGCAGGGTCAAGGCATCTGGGCTAACAGACTAAATAGCACCTCAGATCGGTTTTCATTTCTTTGCTGGTTATAAAAATGCTCATTTAGAAGTGAAACATAAAAGCTGACTCATACATAAGAATTAAAGGGCCTTTCCTTTCCCTGCAGTTTTTATGTAAATAAATTGCCTTTCTGAAGTTTGTGGGAGGTTTGCTTGACTGAAAATACAGATCCAATCCTCTAGCAGAACACTGTTTAGAATGGTAACATACCTGATTTAATTTGTAATACACGAGAAAGGCAGCTCTCCATTTTGTGGCAGTTTTAGGTTGGTTATGACCACAGTGTCTTTTTGAAATACAGATTAGAGTTTAGCAGAAGTAAACTGAATATTTTACACCAAGATGTTCTCCATGAGTTACTTTTGGCATTTATATTTAAATCATTAATGCGATCTTCTATATTGAAAGAATGAACTGTTCTTGAAACTATTACATATGAAATATCTACATCCTGTTTTAAGCATGATAAATTTATATGTTGATAGCTGTAATAATGAATCAGTGACACCATTTTCAAAGTACTCAAGCAATGTGAAATATGTCATACCTATTTTGTGACAGCAGAGGTACAGTTTAGACTGCATATAGAGGCTGCTCTTGGGATTTGGATATCCAAGTGGAAATCATGATTGATTATAGTTCACATTAGTTGAATTGAATGTGTGAGATAGCAGCATCATCCTAAAACTAGGCATGATCCAGTAGAATAAGCTACTAAAGTCTGTGTTAATTTTAATTGAAATAGACCTAATTTCCTTGAGTTTACTTCTTTGTATTTTCCCTCTGTATATATGTTGTTTTTTTCCTCTGGCAAGGATTTTTGGCTCACCTGCATTTGCCCAGACCATCTATAAACTAAAATACAGCACTGGGGAGGGATATGCTATTAATAAAGGAAGTGGGAAGCTCACAGTTAGGATGTTTTAAATCACTTGAGTAGAACTTTGAGCAGAGGGAACATAAAAGGAGAAAACAGCAATTTTATTACTTTTTCAGAAGGTTGCTTGTTAGGGGATGACGCAGTTGGGAAAAACTGAATAAGAATAAAGATGTACATTTATTTTGTATGTGAGGTACTTGTTCCTCATGAAAATAAGTCTCCCATGCAGAACTACTCAGGGTTTTCTTGGAGAACAATCATAGAGTTGAATTGCATTTGTCGAGCATGAGGTTTAATAACTTTGAAATCAAGACCTCAGCTAAGAGCACAGTAACAGTTGTATTTTACCAGGTATACAATTTATCTACTCTAACACCTTTTCTTTTGCTGTGGGCAGCAACTGGATACCTACGCAAAGGTCCAAGAACTGGCAATTTAATCTTCTCAAAGAATTGTTTCACAAATGGTTATGGATTGCCTTTAAATCCCAAAGCATGAGATTTCTGTTCTTTTTCCAAACTGCTCTTCAGTGTTATTACTGGGTAGTCTTTCAACCCAATAAACATCTTTTAACTCTTGCTGTATTGTTTATATTGATAATATAGTTACAGTTTCAGTATGTTCATTACCCAGTCTTTATGCAAAACCCATGTAGGGAAGAACACTTTTAGGCTTTTGTTAAAACTGATATGGAATCCCATGGCCAATTGCAATTGTACCTTCCTAATCTTGCTTATGTTTGGCAAAAACAGGCCTTCAAGATACAGTCAATGAGTAGCCAAGTTAAATACCTTAATTATCTGGATTTCCTTTAAGGTGGTCTTAAATTTTAATTCCCAGAATACTTTATTTTGTCAACCTATGAAGATAAACATTTAATCCTTCTAACAACAGCCAAGTAGCTATTTTAACTGCAAATGCAACATGGCACTACAGTTCAGCGATAACAGAGAAGATGAATTTTGGAATGGCAATTTAAGCACAGTGCTGCAGGAGCACATTTTTGGTTATGAAGAATTAAAATAAAAAAAAATTCTTGTTATAAGCTACCCACAGTGTTTTAGTCACTTTGAGCTGTTTGGTTAATCTGTCTTGTTTCATTGCTAAGGTCATACAGAGAACAAAAAAGAAAATGTTTGCAAAGTTCTACATTTCAATGAAAACCCATACTATAATAAGATAATGTTGGGAAGGATTTCCTTTTTTTTTTTTTCCTATATACCAGACTTTGGATCTAAAGTTAGGTGCAGAACTCTATTCTATTTAAAACTACAGAGTCATAAATGACACTTCTAAATTAGATTATAGTAATTTCATTAAATTTGTGATGAGCATAATGTATTCTTATTTGTTAAGTGTTTGTATTAATTAGAAATAGGACTTATCCATGGGAAAGACCATAGCACATCAAAAGCTTCTTTTGAAAGAATTTTGAAGTTTTTAAAGTATCCATAGGAGTGTACTTGTTTGGGGTTTTTGTGCAAATATCTTTCTTTTTGCATCATTAATCCTAAACGAAGTAATGCACACCCTTCATGGCTAACACGTGCAATTACATTTTCAAAATTATTTCCAGATCTTTAAGGTTGCTAAATAAAGGACTCAAAAAGTTCCAC